CCCCTTCCCTTTACCCATGTCCCTTCCTCTTAGCCCCGCTCCTTTACTCCCACCCCTTCCCTTTAGCCCCTCCCCTTCCCTTTAGCCCCTCCCCTTCCCTTTAGCCCCACCCCTTCCCTTTAGCCCCTCCTCTTTACTTCCACCCCTCCCCTCTTAGCCCCGCTCCTTTACTCCCACCCCTTCCCTTTAGCCCCTCCCCTTCCCTTTAGCCCCGCCCCTTCCCTTTAGCCCCACCCCTTCCCTTTAAGCCCCTCCCCTCCCCTTTAAGCCACTCCCCTTTAGCCCTCCCCTTTAAGCCCCTCCCCTCCCCTTTAAGCCCCTCCCCTCTACCCCCCCCCCAGCCTGCCCACGCTGCTGCACGTCGGGGCTCAGATCGCGTCGGGGATGCGTTTCCTGTCGCGACTGAACGTGGTGCATCGCGACCTGGCGACGCGGAACTGCCTGGTGGGGGCGGGCGTGACGGTGAAGGTGTCGGACTTCGGCATGAGCCGGCCCCTCTACGGGCGGCACTACTACAGGGTGTGGGGCAGAGCCCTACTGCCCATCCGCTGGATGGCCTGGGAGTGCATCCTCATGGTGGGATGTGGGGCGGGATGGGGGGGATGTGGGGTGATGGGGGGCGACATCATGGGGGGGATGTGGGGGGAGATGGGGGGTGGGAGTGCATCCTCATGGTGGGATATGGGGGGGGATGTGGGGAAATGGGGGGTGGGAGTGCATCCTCATGGTGGGATATGGGGGGAGATGGGGGGTGATGGGGGGTGGGAGTGCATCCTCATGGTGGGATATGGGGGGGGATATGGGGGGGGGGGAGATGGGGGGATATGGGGGGAGATGGGGGGGGATGGGGGGTGGGAGTGCATCCTCATGGTGGGATATGGGGCGGGATGTGGGGTGGGAGTGCATCCTCATGGTGGGATGTGGGGCGGGATGGGGGGTGGGAGTGCATCCTCATGGTGGGATATGGGGGGTGGATGTGGGGTGATGGGGGGTGGGAGTGCATCCTCATGGGGGGATATGGGGGGGGATATGGGGGGAGATGGGGGGAACGGGGGGGGAGTGGGGGGATATGGGGGGCAACATCATGGGGGGATGTGGGGGAGATGGGGGGTGGGAGTGCATCCTCATGGGGGGATATGGGGGGGGATGTGGGGGGATGTGGTGTGGGAGTGCATCCTCATGGTGGGATATGGGGCGGGATGTGGGGTGGGAGTGCATCCTCATGGTGGGATATAGGGGGAGATAGGGGGTGGGAGGGCGACATCATGGGGGGAGATGGGGGAGATGGGGGGTGGGGGGTTCAATGAAATGCAGTGGGGTTCAATGGGTGTCAATGGGGATCGATGGGTGTCAATAGGGATCAATGGGATCAATGGGGATCAATGGGTTTCAAAGGGTGTCAATGGGGTTCAGTGGGGTTCAATGGGGCTCAATGGGGTTCAATGGATTTCAATGGGGATCAGTGGGGTTCAATGGGATGCGATGGGGTTCAGTGGGGATCAGTGGGGATCAATGGGGCTCAATGGGATGCAGTAGGGTTCAATGGGTGTCAATGGGAATCAATGGGGTTCAATGGGGTTCAATGGGATCAATGGGGCTCAATGGGTTCAATGGGGCTCAATGGGCTCAATGGGGCTCAATGGGGCTCAATGGGGTTCAATGGGCTCAATGGGGTTCAATGGTGCTCAATGGGCTCAGTGGGTTTCAATGGGGCTCAATGGGGCTCAATGGGCTCAATGGGGCTCAATGGGTTTCAATGGGACTCAATGGGGCTCAATGGGGCTCAATGGGGCTCAATGGGGCTCAATGGGCTCAATGGGGCTCAATGGGCTCAATGGTGCTCAATGGGGCTCAATGGGCTCAGTGGTGCTCAATGGTGCTCAATGGGGCTCAATGGGGCTCAATGGGGCTCAATGGGGCTCAATGGTGCTCAATGGGGCTCAATGGGGCTCAATGGGTTCAATGGGTTCAATGGGGCTCAATGGGGCGCGCAGGGCACCTTCACCCCCGCCAGTGACGCCTGGGCCTTCGGGGTGACGCTCTGGGAGGTGCTGACGCGGTGCCGGGAGCAGCCCTATGGGGGCCTGAGCGACGAGCAGGTCATTGCCAACGCCGGGCACCACTTCCGGGCCCAGGGCAAGCAGGTGGGCAAGGGGGCAATGGGGCAAGGGGGGGCAATGGGGGGAATGGGGGCAAGGGGGGTAATGGGGCAATGGGGGGCAATGGGGGGAATGGGGGAATGGGGGGAATGGGGGGAATGGGGGCAAGGGGGTAATGGGGGTAATGGGGCATGGGGGGCAATGGGGGGCAATGGGGGAATGGGGCAGTGGGGAGCAATGGGAGGCAATGGAGGAAATGGGGTCAATGGGGGAATGGGATAATGGGGTTCAATGGGGTAATGGGGGCAATGGGGTACTGAGATCAATGGGGTCAATGGGGAAATGGGGCAATGGGATCAATGGGGTCAATGGGGCAATGGGGTCTTTGGGGCAATGGGATCAATGGGATTAATGGGGGCAATGGGGCAATGGGATCAATGGGGGCAATGGGATCAATGGGGGCAATGGGGCAATGGGATCAATGGGGCAATGGGGCAATGGGATCAATGGGGTCAATGGGATCAATGGGGTCAATGGGGTAATGGGATCAATGGGGCAATAGGATCAATGGGATCAATGGGGTCAATGGGGCAATGGGGTCTTTGGGGCAATGGGATCAATGGGATTAATGGGGTCAATGGGGCAATGGGATCAATGGGGGCAATGGGTCAATGGGGTCAATGGGCAATAGGGGCAATGGGGCAATGGGAAGAATGGGGTCAATGGGGCAATGGGATCAATGGGGCAATAGGATCAACAGGGTCAATGGGGCAATGGGATCAATGGGGTCTATGAGGTCAATGGGTTCAATGTGATCAATGGGGCAATGGGATCAATGGGGCAATGGGATCAATGGGTTCAATGGGATCCATGGGGTCTATGGGTCAATGCTGTTATCCCGTACCCCCATCCCTCCCCCAGGAATACCTGCCGTGCCCCCCCGGCTGCCCCCCGGCTCTCCATGGGGTGATGCTGCGGTGCTGGGCCCGGGATGCCGCCGACCGGCCGAGCTTCGGGCTCCTGCACCGGCTCCTGCGGGACCAATCAGGGCTGGCCTGAGCGGCGGCATCATCGCTGACGTCATCGTCATCAACATCCTTCATCGTCATCGTCATCCTTCATCATCATCATCACCATTGATCATCATCAATATCATCATCATCGATCATCATCAATGTCATCGTTGTCATCCTTCAGAGTCAACGTCAACATCATCGTCATCATCTTCAACGTCCTTCATCGTCATCGATGTCATCGTTGTCGTCAACGTCATCATTGTCAACGTCATCATCATTATCCTTCATCATTATAATCGTCAGTGTCATCATCGTCATCGACATCATCGTCAAAGTCATCGTCAACATCATCATCATCCTTCATCATCATCATTGTCAATGTCATCATCATCATCGTCAATGTCATTATCGTCATCAATCATCGTCACCATCATAATCGTCATCATCATCATCCTTCATCATCATCAAATCAACATCATCATCATCCTTCATCATGAATATCATCATCATCGATCATCATCAATGTCATCGTCGTCATCCTTCATCGTCAACGTCAACATCATTGATCATCATCTTCAACATCCTTCATCATCATCATCATCGACATCATCGTTGTCGTCAACGTCATCATCATTATCCTTCATCATCATCATCGTCAATGTCATCAGCATCGTCAACATCATCGTCGTCAATGTCAGCACCATCATCGGCATCACATCATCATCAATCATCATCACCAATGTCATCATCGTCATCATCATCATCGTCATCATCGTCATCATCCTCGTCAACGACATCGTCAACGTCATCATCGTTATCCTTCATCATCATCGTCAATGTCATCACCATCATCAACATCATCATCGTCAATATCATCGTCAATGTCATCATCGTCATCATCCTTCATCATCATCATCAATCATCATCATCATCCTTCATCATCGATATCATCATCATCCATCATCATCAATGTCATCATCGTCATACTTCATCATCATCATCATCATCATCAATCACCAACATCACCATCATCATCCTTCATCATCACCTTCATCATCAATCAACACCATCATCACCATCATCATCACCTTCATCATCATCATCATCATCATCATCATCATCATCACCATCACCATCATCACCATCACCCTTCATCCCCTTCGCCTTCCTTTGCCTTCACCATCTCTTCTTCCCCCTCCTCCTTCCTCTTCCTCCTCCCCACCCCTACCAACGCCCCCCCCATTGTATGTAAAGGGGGCGTGGCCTGATGGGGAGGGGGGCGTGGCCTCAGAGGGGGCGTGGTCACGTGCGGGGGGCTGTATATATGTGGGGCCATACTGGAGATGTTTACATTAATATATGGGATGCTTTGGGGTCCTTTGGGTCTGTGTTGGATTGGGGGGCGGGCTGGACCTATAGATCACCCCATAGGTGCCATATCCCCCCTATAGATGCCTATATCCCCACTATAGGCGCCCATATCCCCCCTATAGGCGCCCATATCCCCCCTATAGGCACCCATATCCCCCTATAGGTGCCCATATCCCCACTATAGGCACCCATATCCCCCCTATAGGCGCCCATATCCCCCCTATAGGCACCCATATCCCCCCTATAGGTGCCCATATCCCCCCTATAGGCGCCCATATCCCCCCTATAGGCGCCCATATCCCCACTATAGGCACCCATATCCCCCCTATAGGTGCCCATATCCCCCTATAGGCTATAGGCGCCCATATCCCCCCTATAGGCACCCATATCCCCCCTATAGGCGCCCATATGCCCCCTATAGGCACCCATATCCCCCCTATAGGCACCCATATCCCCCCTATAGGTGCCCATATCCCCATATCCCCCCTATAGGCACCCACCCATATCCCCCCTATAGGCCCCCATATATCCCCCTATCCCCCTATATGCCCATATCCCC